TAATACACATTCTTAAGTCCTTTGATTCTCTCCTAAATTCTCTCCCCTCCATTATTGGTCTCTCTGCCTGCAAAGAGCAATGGGGATTTACAGGTGAAATGTTCATCAGCAGGTCTGTCAAATTAATAAGGGAGGGAGTGACCTCTATAGAGACTGGGCCCACAAGAAGTAAATTTTAAGTTACAGGGTCCTTTCAATCCTGAAGTCCATTTCTGTATGTAGGTCATGATCCTGCAGCCCTACTCTCATGAGCATATGGGTTCGTCTGCACACAGAAATTAAATTGACTTAATTAAATCAATTTCCAAATCAATTTAGTTAAATAGATTCATAGATAAGGCCACATTGTTGCAATGGAAGCTCATGTTCAGCTGATTGTCTGTCTGCCATGACCCCCCCGGGTCTGAGTTAACTGCTCCCAGGATAGAGTCCCCCGTCCATTTGTATGTTTGCTTGCACCCAGCTTACCAAATGATCCAGATTGCTGTTTCTGTGACCCGGCCTCTTCTTTATTACTACTCCCCTAGACTTTGTGTCATCTGGAAACTTTATCACTGATGATGTTTTGTTTTCTTCCAGGTCCTTGATTTAAAAATGTTAAACAGTGTAGGGCCAAGAACCAATCCTGGTGGGACCCCACTGTAAAAGCACCTGCCCAGTGATGATTCCCTAGTCACAATTACATTTTTGAGACCCGTCAGTTCGCTATTTAATGTGTGCCATGCTGATTTTTGTATTGTTCTAGTTTTTTAATCAGAATATAGTATGATACCGAGTCAATACCTTACAGAAGTCTGTGTGTGTTACATCCACACGATTACCTTTATCAACCAAACTAGTCATCGGGTTTTGTTTTGTTTTTAAACAAGTTGGTTTGACAAGTCAGAGAGGAATCTAGATGCTCTTGAAAGTCCCCATGAGGTTCTTATCTGCATCTTTGAGCGCCTAAATACCTTTAAAAATCTGACCTTTGGTCTTGTGTTTATTGAGAGAATTCTGAACCCCACTCCTCTGAAAACCAGACCACTCTTTTCAGGTGTCTCAAGTTGGGGGTGGGAGGAATCAAAACTGAGGAACCTAAAAATCTTTTCATGTTCTGATTGAAAACCGTGGTCAGAGCTTCACGCAGCAACATTTTCCCTCTCTTCAGTCTGATTGGGATGTGTGCATCCCTCTATTGATTTTTTTTTTTTTTGGTCTGTCTTGTTTAAATTTACCTTGATTTTTCTTTTTTGTTTGCTTTGATTTTTTTTTTTGCAAGGTGGGGGTGAGGGTTGTTTGGGGTTGTTTTGTTTTTGTTTGTTGGGTGAAAGTGTGCCAGTATATAGCACTGGGGCCTCTCTTGAGTAATTGATCTGTTACCAGAGCTGAAGCATTCCCTTCACCCAAACTATTTAGGGCCAGAATTTTCAGAAGGGCATAGTACTCACACCTGGGGCCAGATTTTTCCAAAGTGCTCAGCCCCCAGCGGCTCCCGTTGTGACATTTAACAGCCCAGTTTGTGCCTCCATTGTGCTAAGCACTACTGAAAATCTGCTCCCTTATTCAGGGGTCTGAATGGGAGCTGAGTTCTTATGAAAATCTGGCCCCAGTTGTAACTAAGCCCTTCTAAAAATTCTGGCCTTAAAGGGCCAGTGCTTTAGTTGGGTTTAGAGTGTTTTGTAGCTATGGGAATTCCTCCCACCACCATAGTACCTAAGGTCCCCAAGTTGTGGTATCACTTAGTATCTACATCCACTTTCTGTCCTCTAAGCGAGGTTTTGAAGCATAAAATCTGATGATGAAGCAGGCTCTGAGACTTGGCTTGTAAAACCTGTCTATTCCCAATGTCCTAGTGCTACTTGGTTAGGGAATAGCCTGGATTTTGTATTTTCTAACCCTGCTCCTGGTTTCTACAAGGAGAGGGGAAGGGAACTAGATCTCGCCACCTCCCCATGGACAGAGATGATTTCATTAGAAACGGAAATATCTCTACCTCAATCCTCAAAGTACTTCGGAAACAGTTTCATAGGGTTAGGATAGTGTGGTGTGGATATTCCTGAGGAGCACAAACCCCAGAGACCAGCCCAGCAGAAGGGAGCAATGGAATTTTGGATGGATTTTTTTTTTTTTAAATCTAATAAAATCCCACCAAGGAGTTGAGATTTTCTTGGACTTCTCTGGCCTTGGTGCAACAGCGGGAAGAGAACGTTTGCATTAAGAAATGGGGGAGGGATTGCCAGTGAAAGGAAATCAATCCCCATTTGGAAAAAGCACTGGGAAAGCCAGGCTAAAAGGCACTGGATGCCAAGAGCCACCTCTGTTGCATCACAAATTGGTTTTACTGGGGGGCAGATGCTCAGATAATGCCAGAGGAGCTGCAGCCACTGAGTAAGGGATGTAGTTTTAAGGCTAGTGGTTTGGGTTTTTGTTTTGTGTGTGTGTGTGTGTTTTTTGTTTTGTTTTGTTTTTTCCTCCCCAGTGAAGTGGTTTGCCCCTACTGGGATCCCACCGTCCAAAGCACACCCTACTTCCTGTTTTTGAGTAGCTACCCACTGGAAAACAAGGAAGAATAAGGAGTCAAACAATTGGCGATCCGTTTCAAAACGTGTTTATTGAGATCTTATTTCTCCAGGGCAAATAACGTGGGGTTGTTTATCATTTTAAGACTCCTTTGGCGTAAGCTATAAGGCATGCGGCCCATTGGGTCGCTCCGGTATTTTATACGTAGATCATGCCACAAAAAATAAAATAATACAGGGCAACCAACCATTTGAAAACCAGCGCCGAGTCTCCTCGATAGTTAGGGGAAAGGGAACCTGTTTGTGTGTAATTATGCAGCTTAAAATCAGAGCCTTTGAATTCATCAGCAAACTAGGTAGGGAGCAGACCAGGCTGCAGGAGAACACAAATATGGTGAAATAGACGGGAACACGTTGCTATGTTAGGTGTAAACGGGTCTCGGGCAGGTGGGAAAAGGGCAGGCGTGTTTTATTCATGAAATGTCGCAGGATCGCCTCTGCCCAGCTGCGTATTTCATAACCGTGTAATCCCAAAAGAAATCCAGGGAACACGTAATTTGGGCCACGAGACTAGATCTCCTGGACGGGGGATTGTTTTAACAAACCTTTTGAACTTGCTTGTTGCCCGGCTTCAGGCGATCACAGCCCAGTGATCTGTGTGAACGCTGCTGTTTCCGCTCAGAACACGCGGCTAGGACCAGGTGGATTCGTCGGGTTCCTATTTTAATACCTTAAGCCCAGTGTTTTCTCCCAAACCCTCTGCCACTGGAAAGAAAAGTTTTAACTTTCTCCCCTTTCTTTTCCCTGCTTAACGGACGCGATGAGCTGCGCCCCGTGAAGTTGTATTTGTGCTGAAGGCGGACAGGTAAACAGGACTGCAGGCAGGCAACACAAACCAAATGGTCTTTGTGGATTTAAAACTTCAGTGGAGTCTCTAACTTTTTTCCCCTTCCCAGGCTCGAGCATTTTTTTTTAAGAGCTCGTTTGCTTCCGGGAGTCCAGAATAACCCGAATTCCCAGTTTGAGTTACTTTTCCATTCCCTCCTTCGATTGTTTCATATTTCGTATAATTTAATCCTTTCCCGAGACCGCTTTAAAAAATAACCTGAACCGAGTACATTTTACAAACCCCTGGAGGGATGGAGGTAAAAAAGGGAAACGAAAATCTCTTTACCTTGGACGGGAGACGAAACTAAACTGAGTTTTCCACACACCCACGAACTGTCGTGAAACAAGAAATCTTAACTCGTTTCAAGCGTAATACATTAAAAATCATAGCATGAGGCGTTGATTGTTTTTAAAATAGCATTTGGTTAATGCGGGGGGGAAATGCATTTGCTTTACCAGCATTTCGGAGTGAAAAATATTTCCTGCATTGAAATGCAAGAAAACAAGGATTAAAATAAACACAGGGTTTTTTTTAATTTAAATTAATTAGAGCTTATAAAAAAACCAAACAATTTAAACACTAGTTTGCGTTCATTGTTTTATTTTCATACAATCAACCATGCTTTTTAAAATCTGTCTTTTCTCTCTTTCAAAATTCTTTTGCAGCGGCACAAACACAAAGAAAAGCTCCCCAGATATTTTAGCAAATGCGACTTTTTTTTACAAACCGATTTCTTTGTTTTAGAAACACAACCCCCAACAAACATCTGATCGTTACACAGACAGCTACCGCTGGACTAATCCTATCTTTTTCTCCCCTCTCGGCTACACCACAATACTCATAATATTCCCAGAGACTAAAATCTGCGCAGGTGAAGATCCTATACAATAATATAAACGAGTCCCTTTGGTTCCCCCCCTCTTCCTCTGGTTTTTAAAATTCTTGTTTCTAACCACTACATTTGATTCCTCTTCCACTGTCCCCACAAAGGACGTTAGAAGGGAAAGTCCTGCTTTGCCGAACAAGACATTTGGTTGGCTCTGCTTGCGCTTTTTCTTTTTAATGCAAACGCTTCGATGTTGTTTCTGTTAACAAGCTCCCTCAGACACCAAAGCCACATGAAAATACCAATGAAAACGAAAAGCAAAATGCCATCTCCCCCTTAATTTTAATTGGTATATTTTGCAGACTCCCTTTCCTTTGGGTTTCTTCCCCAGTCTGACCTGCCAGCCAGTTCCACGACACCCCCCTCCCAGCTCACCTTTCCTGGTAAATAGCTCGGCCGAGAGGCTAAAGGCTTTGGGTTGTTTTAAAGGGCTTTGATTTGTTTTGCTCGAATTTACCTAATTCCTCCTCCTGGCCTCCCAAGCCCCAGTGCTGCTGGAGAAGCCTGGAGCTGGTGCACTTGGGGCTGGCTGCCTCCTTGCCCAACAAGTCCAAAGTTCAGCTAAAGTGTGGCTGATAAAAACAGAACCAATCGAAAGGTTTCAGCCACCCGTATAAACACAACGAACTCCGTCAAATCCAGGCCCAGAGCAGCTGCTCCTCTTCTGTGCCCCCCCCCCAAACCCTTTACCCACTACCCCCCTTTCCATTTGCATCCTGCAGGAATGACTCTCCCTTCCCACTGATTTGCATATCTTATATTGCCTAATGGAGGAGATCATGGCAAGGTAGAGGTCTGCCGAGCCCTCTCAAAGGAGATTCACCAGGGCACGGAGGAGGAGCAGGTGTCTGGGGCTCACGGGGGGAACCCAAGACTTTGGGGTGTTTTTTAACCTACCTTCCCTCCCCCCCACCCCACCCCACCCCCCTCCCCTTCTCTCTCTCTCTCCCCTCCTGGTAAAATGGTGTCCAAGCTCAGCTCTCTGCAGCAGGAACTTCTGAGCGCTCTCCTCAGCTCCGGTGTCACCAAGGAGGTGTTGATCCAAGCCCTGGAGGACATGGTGCCCACCACCAGCTTCGGGGTGAAGCTGGAGAACCTGCCCCTGTCCCCAGGCAGCGGGACGGAGGCGGACAGCAAGCCCGTCTTCCACACCCTCACCAACGGCCACAACAAGGGCAAGCTGTCCGGGGACGAGGGCTCCGAGGACGGGGACGACTTCGACACCCCGCAGATCCTCCGGGAGCTGCAGGCGCTCAACACGGAGGAGGCCGTGGAGCAAAGAGCGGAGGTGGATCGGATGATCAGGTACAAACGGGGCTCCCTCTTCTCCCCCCAGCCCGGCAGCCAGAGGCCCAGGTGGGCTGAAGGCTCGCTTCTCGCTCACTAGGCAGCGTCGTCCGCGGACTCTGAAACCCAGGTCACCCCAGCCCCTGGGAACTTGCCCCTCATCTTCCCCCCCCCAAGCCGGTGACCAGGGAATCGATTTCTGACCGCGTCTAAACGCAGCAGGACCCCCCGCGTCTGCCAGGTCACTTTCTGCCCTCACCTCCTGGCGTGCTGAGCTCAGGGCTCGGGCCCAGAGAGGCACGTGTAAATAAGTAAATCGGAGTGGGGTTTTTTTGTATGCTGAATTCCATGAAGTTTTGATCCTTTGAAGCCCACTTTGTCAGAGCGGCTGTCTGTGCCCACCCGCGGGGGCTGGGCGCCTCAAACTAAACTTTAAAAAGGAAGGAAAATAGACCCGAGGCAGCGGCGAGGGGCTTTGTTCTATTTTAAAACTAGATTTGAAAGAGTCCCTTAAAAACCCCTTCCCGACTCTCTTTCTCCTGCATACACCTCGCTTTTAAACCACACCCGGGCAGCCCCATAACCCGTAGCCAGCCAGCCAGGTGCAGATTCGGGGGTTCTCTCCTGCCGAGGGGATTCGCGGTGGGGTGGGGAGATCTGAGGATGGACGTAAAAAGAAAATAAAAAACGAACTCCGAGCAGATCCAGGCACTGCCGAGCGAGCCCAGCCAAGGAATCAAACTTCGGAGTAACTTTGCGCGTTGAGAGCCGGTTTCTTGCCTGCTAGCCAGGGGATGTTGATCAAACGCTGAAACGCTTCCACGAGCTCTGTTGCCCCGTCAAGGTAGTTAGTTAGTTAGTTACTAATTATCCACGTCGTTCATTGTTTCTTTTTCGTTAGCAAAATATCAACTAACCCCAGCCCGGCCCTGTATTAACCCCAGGGACTGGAACAGACCAGGAAAGTCTCTAGCCGAAGGCTGCAGTTTCTTAGCGTAGAAGCGAGCTGAGAAAAGGCTTTTCAGGCCGAGGGTCACATTTTTGTTTTGTTTTTTACTCTTTTAATTCGGATGCCGAACGAATGCAGGATCTTCGCGTCACTGCGCCCTGGCTAAATCCCCGTGCAAACAGCCAGACCCACCCGTGTGAGGACCAAATCCCCGGGCACGGGTGGGAGGCCGCATGGGCGGCTCGGAGTGGGTATTTCAGGGGCTGGTTTGGTTTCGAAGCGTTGCAAATGGGCCCAAGCCGGGGCCAGTTCTTAGCGAGCGCCCAAAGAGGCGGAGCAGCGGCTGGAGCCGGGGATTTCCGTGCTACCCGGGGCGCTTCTCTCCGCGCGGTGCGGGTGGAGTTGGACCCCGCGGGGGGCTCCCCGCTTCTGGGCCGCGCTGGCGCTTGTTGCCCGGGGGCGGCGGAACGGAGGCAGAGGGGGCCCGTCCCGGGCGTTACCTGCACCCTAGTGCCCGGGCTCTGGGCAGCGCCCGCTGCGCCCGGAGCAACCCGAGGGCCGCCCGCGGGCTGCGCTCTTCCCTCCGCCTGCTCCGGGGCAACCCCAGCCGGCCGCACGTGGAGCGGGGGGTGTTATTAATTTATTTCTATAAATCATCAACCGAAAGATACACACGGGGCTGCGGGGAGAGGCGGGTTATTCATTGGCGAAGCTGTAAAGCAGCCCGCGGGGGGAGAGGAAAACCCCAGGCGCGGGTGTCGGGTGGTTGGGTGTTGTTTTTTTTTTGGCCTTCTCTTAAATAAATAAACACGCGCAGCGCCGGGCTCGCCTCAAAGGGTGCCCAGGAAAGGAGGGAGCCCGGCCGGGGGGGCCGGTCCCGGGACCCCAGCTCCGGCCGCTGCCAAGCGAAGGAAGGAGGGAGAGGGGCAGGGCCAGGTCGGGACTCGCTGGGGGGGGGATCGAGTTGATTTCTCCCCCCACCCCCCCTCGCCCCGCGGGCCGTGCCCAGGTACCGCTGCCCCAGCCTGGCCGCGTGTCCCTGGCGAGCCTGGTGCCAGCGGGGCGGGGAATGGGGCGCTGTCCTCTGGGGGGGGACATCACGGCCATGGGGGGGACCTGGGGCAGGGGGAGGACCCCCCCTCACAGCCAGGTATCTTCAGCAGAAGCCCGCTGGAGCTGGGGCTGTCGGGGACGGGGGAGCGCTGCGGTACCAGAGCGGGGCCTGCACTCCCGCAAGGCAGCGAAATCCCGGCCCCGGGGCTTCCAGCGAAACCTGGCGGGGAGACACAGGGGGGAAATGCACGGGAGGCTCCCTCTTGTTTGTGTACAAAGCGGGTGTTTCTAATGCACCCAGCTGTACTCCCCAAGACCTACAGATTGCACGTCCAGTTCCCTTGATTTAAATAATACAGAGCCCCCAGGAGCCCTAACACCTAATAACCATCCAGCATAACTCCAGCAGCGTTCAATCCATCTATCCGCCGGGGATTCACCTAGCCACCTCCACAGCTCCTTTCCACCCCTTGGGAAACACCCGCTCTCTCCAAGCCCTCGATCAAATGGACTAAATTCTCTGTATAGGTGTACCTGCTGCACCCAATTGTTTGTCATGTCTGTTGTGGTGCCCCAGTCTGGGCCCCTATTGTGCTAGGCACAGGGCTTGTATGTCATCTGCAGACACTTTACAATCTGTACAGCTGAGACAATAACCAGGGGCAAAACAAATGATGGGGGGAGAAGGCCGATTAGCTTAATACTCCCTTAAAAATGACTTAGCTCAGACACTGGTGAAGATGCATTGATCAGACTAGAAAATTTCCCTGTAGTGTTGAGGGTGTTTTCTGACAAGATTTGCACTCTCTATCTTCATTTGCCTTGGCGTGCTCTCCTTCCATTTAGGTCCCCGGAGAGTTCAGGTGTGTGACAGTCCACCCCATGCTCCTCTCATTACACCTGTCCTCTTCTAAAGTAGATGAAGGTCTGAATTCTGCCCCCCGCCCCCAGTGACACCTGTGTAACCCCACTAAAGCTGGTAGGTTTGCATGGACAATAACTCGGGGCAGAATTTTGCCCTTTCAGTTCAAAACTTGCCTTTGGTGCAGACAGGATCCACTCAATGTGCAGCGGCAGTGAACAGAATGTTGGGAATCCTTAAGAAAGGGATAGATAATAAGACAGAAAATATCATATTGCCTCTATATAAATCCATGGTACCCCCACATCTTGAATGCTGAGTGCAGATGTGGTCACCCCATCTCAAAAAAGATATATTGGCCTTGGAAAAGGTTTCAGAAAAGGGCAACAAAAGTTATTAGTGGTATGGAATGGCTGCTGTATGAGGAGAGATTAATAAGACTGGGACTTTTCAGCTTGGAAAAGAGACGACTAAGGGGGGATATGATTTGAGGTCTATAAAATCATGACTGGTGTGGAGAAAGTAAATAAGGAAGTGTTATTTACTCCTTCTCATAACACAAGTACTAGGGGCCACCAAATGAAATGAATAGGCAGCAGATTTAAAACAAACAAAAGGAAGTATTTTTTTTCACACAACACACAGTCCACCTGTGGAACTCCTTGCCAGAGGATGTTGTGAAGGCCAAGTCTATAACAGGGTTCAAAAAAGAACTAGATAAATTCATGGAGGATAAGTCCATCAATGGCTATTAACCAGGATGGGCAGGGATAGTGTCCCAAACCTCTGTTTGCCAGAAGCTGGGAATGGGTGACAGGGAATGGATCACTTGATGATTACCTGTTCTGTTCATTCCTTCTGGGGCACTTGGCATTGGTCACTGTCGGAAGACAGGATATTGGGCTAGATGGACCTTTGGTCTGACACTGTATGGCTGTTCTTAAGATCAGGCACACCTCCTTGAGGGGGCTTTTGCAAAGAACTCCCAGTTTGCTCCAAGCGAAGCCTTTGTGGTCATGGTCATGTAGGTACCAGTGACATAGGGAAAGGTAGGAGAGGGGTCCTGGAGGCCAAATTTATGATGCTAGGTAAGAGATTAAAATCCAGGATCGCCATGGTAGCATTCTCTGAAATGCTTCCAGTTCCGCATGCAAGGTTAGTTAGACAGGCAGAATTGCAGGGTCTTGATGTGCGGATGAGATGATGGCACTGGGAAGTGGGATTTAAGTTTATTAGGAACTGGGGAACCTGTTGGGAAAGGAGGAGCCTATACAGGAACTAGGTTGCTAGCATGAAAATTCAAAAGGTTGTAGAGGAGTTTCTAAACTAAGGTCTTGGGGGAAGCCAACAGGTGTGGAGGAGCACACGGTTAGGACAGATGGATCCCTTAGCTGGGGACTTATTAAAGGAGAGATTTTATATTCCAGTAAAGAGGAGAGGATAGAAGTTGATAAAGTACAGGCTGGAACTGAAGGGAAACAGTCAAACAAAAAAGATCCCCATTCAATTACATCACATGAAGGCAGATACAAAATGTGTAAATATTTAAGTGTTTGTATATAAATGCACAAGGTCTAAATACTAAGATGGATGAACTTGAGTGCCTGGTAGTAAATGAGGATATTGATATAATTGGCATCACAGAAACTTGGTAGAATGATGACAACCAATGGGACATGGTAATACCAGGGTACAAAATATATTGGAATGACCGAGTAGGTTGCATTGGTGTGGGAGTGGCACTATATGTGAAAGAATGCCTAGAATCAAATATAGTAAAAATCTTCAAATGAATCAAATGGTACCACAGTCTGTCTGGCTAGAAATGCTTGAATAATAAGAGAGAAGCAGTAGGAGTACACTGCCAATCACCTCACCATCACGGTGATTGTGAAATGCTCAAGGAGATTAGAGAGGCTATAAAAACAAAAACCCCAATATTAATGGGGGATTTCAACTCTCCCAATAGTGACTAGGAACATGTCACCTCAGGATGGGATGCAGAGATTAAGTTTCTAGACACCATAAATGACTGCTTCTTGAAGCAGTTAGTCCTGGAACCCACAAGGGAAGAGGCAATTTTTGATTTAGTTCTAAGTGGTGCACAGGTTCTGGTCCAAGAAGTGAATATAACTGAACTGCTCTGTAACAACG